GTTTTTGGATAGTATAATTTTAAGAGTGGTGATAATTAGAGGTAGACGAGAGGTGTGTTAAGAGCAAGCCAAAAATGTGAGATAATTATATGTGATATAATGATAAGACATTGTAAAAAACTTTGTAAGTTGTGCAATAAAAACCTGATTATATATATATATATATAAGAAAAATATACCTTCCGATCGTTAAATTATTTCTTATAATAGGTTGATGTCCTCTGATATATTCTATGCTTACAGTAATCGGTGCTGAGTAATTTAAGTCTCGTAATCTACATTCGTGCGGTGTTGAAGGTCGAGTTACACCAAAACTATCGTCTACATCCGGAGTACCAACACATACGTCCAAGTATCTAGGAATAAAATTTGAACAAATTAAATAAATGATTAGAAAGAAAAATATTATTTATTATTATTCCAAAACATATATTGGAATATAATAATAATAATTATTATTATTAAATACTTACTTAACATAAAATGAAGGATCGGCATCGCTTACCATTTTTTCATTAGTTTTAACAATCTTTTTTATTTCAACATTTATAAAATAATCAAACGAGTCAATGTGTTGCTTGACCAAACCTTTTCCTTCTAAAAAAGCAGGTACTAATTTCCATTTATTCTACAAATATAAATATCGAGTGAAATTTATTTTAATTATTATTGTTGCAAATTGATTTTCTTCAATAGAATTAACATAATTAATTACAGTTACAAATAAATAAATGAAAATGTATTTCAAAACACTACTTAATAAAACATAACCTCTCTAATACCTTAATTGGTTCCACAAGATTGTTAAATTGTTGTTTCTTCATCTTCTCCTCCGTATTATTAGATTTTACTTCACCCATGTTTTATTTTTCAAGAAAAACTAATATATTTTATTTAATGATCAGAGTTAGAAATTCTCTAAGCAATCTCTAAGCACTTTGTAAACATGTTTTAATTTCTCTAAGCATTCTATGCGCATGCATTCTAGAGACACAGCACTACTACGTGATACAACCCACGTGTTCCTAAATACTATGAAAATAATTTTTTTTTTATTGATCTCATTTATTGATAAAATATAATATTTAAAATAATCTTAAATAAATTCTAATATAATAATTATAAAATATATATATATAATAATGTAAGTACGTTGTGTGGTGTCTTGCACGCACTTCTTCTTCTTCTTCTTCTCACTTTTTTTCTTTTTTCTTTTTTTTTTTTATTGATCTCAGTTT